CCTTCTACAAAGGAATTTCTCGAGTTCTAGGAGGCAGTCAAAAATAATCGCCTTAGTGCCTTTGCACATCTCTAAGATACGAGCTGAACACAAAAGACTGAGTTATTTGAAAAGAGACAGAACCTTTCAGGCACTAACAGAGGCAGCACGAGTAGAATTTATGTTCAATTACCAGCGTCTGAGATGGAGGCACTGAGTTCTGAGTTGAGAGCTGTTGCTCAGCTGAGGGGACTCGGCCTTGGCTGCTAAGGTGGAAATTAGGAGAAGGTGCTCTCTGTAATAAAGATGTATGATCCTTCATAGGACTGACTTAATCAAGAAAGTTGCTTCTGCCAGTAATGATCCTAGGCCAGATTTAAACATGTGCTTCCAAAGCAAAAGCAAGTTGTCTGATTCTAAAGTCATTCTACACATTATTGTGCTCCCAAAGACTTTATTGTTATGCAGTGTTAGGAACTGATTTTTACCCCCAGAGCACTTGGAAGCACATTGCAATTCCCAGCCTTACTCTCCACCCAAATTGTTGCCCAGATGATTCTGCTCATTTGTGCCGTTATTCATCGATGGCACATTTGGAAACAAAACCCTGAGGTTGTCACGGGTCTGCACGTATTTACATAGTTCTCCAATGCCAAGTGATAAATACTGTGCAGATGTTCTGTAGGACAGTAACCCAGCCTGCCTTTGGCAGTTTCACACGCGAACGACTAACCACATCAGCTCTGGAGAAAGACACCACAGCATGAGCTCACTGACTTTTATTTCATGCAAAAGTCAGGGGCCGAGATTAATTAAAACCAGGAGCTTGTTACTTTCAAAGATAGCACAGTGATAACCATTCCAAAATGTTCCTCATTCTTGCAACCCCAGCACTTTAGGTGAAGCCAGAAAGTGAGAATATAAAAAGTGCCTGATGGAAGTCTGTAGCCAGAGGCCATGCTTATTTGTATGCCCATGCAAATATTTATTGGGCAAATATAGTTTGTATTGAATGAATAACTGAATGAATGTACAAATCAATGAATGATTAGGATAATGGTTTTAGTTCTGTATTGACCCAGTTTATGATGCAGCATGTTAGGTATGCTCCCATGCTCCCAGCAGCAGTGCAAACTCCCATGTATGGAGTATTTATTAGCTGCTCAGCCCTGAGTAGAGTGCTCCCCATGCAAGGGGAAATACCTTCTTCACAATGACACTATAAACTAGATATTTATTTTCTGCATCAAAATTGTGAAGACCGAACCTTAGGCAGGAAGATGCAAAATGGCAGGACTAGGATTCAAACTCAAGTCTGCTCGATTCCAAAGCCTGTGATTTTAACCTGCATTTGAGATTGCTGCTTACTTCCCAAGAGGTCACATTCGGTGAAAGGTCACTACCTTTTCATGGTCTCAATTATAATTTTCCTGGCCAATGAATCTGATGATAATAAAGTTAGAAGGCTCCTGAAAGATCAGTTGGCACACACTCCCTCATTTTGCAGGTGGGGAATCTGAGGTTCTGCCCCATGTCTGTGGTCATTCAGCTGACCCGTGGAAATGAGATGCAAGCCAGGCACATGTCAGCTAACCTTTGATCCAGTACTTTCCCACCTTATCATGCTGGAGATATGGTGAAAGCAGGAATTATATAAAATAGTGAATTTGAATCATTTCATTGTTTCTAAAAGTTGCCTAAACTGACACCATGGTAGAATGATCCTTGCACACATAATTCCTACAGTAAAAATAAATATTAAGAGGACAGATGTATGAGAAGAAGTACTTTCACTGGAAAATATCATTAAAATGGTGAGAACATGACAAACTTGTTAATCATGCAATATCTTCAGCAAATACTTGATTATGGCCTTTAAAAAAATTGATGCATGTGCTGCCTATAGGTCCTTGAAAAGTGGGAGATACTGATAATGTGTCACTGGTTAAAGCTAAAAGCAGGAGTGAAATTAAACATGGATAATATTAGTCGTCAATTCCTGTTGACTTACCACTCTGAACTCTTGGAATCAATCCTTTTTTCCCCTCCATTCCTTCCTGCCCTATCTCCACTATTTCAATTGAAGCCCTCAACACCCTTCAATGGGACCAGTGCTACTACTTCCCCAACAAGCTCCTTCCCTGTAGTCCTGCTTCTTGCAGTTTCTCCTCCCAAATCACCACCACAGTGATTTTTCTAAAACTCAGCCTGATCATGTTTACTCCTTCACTGAAGACCTCTGCTGGCTCCCCACAAGTCAAAGCTCTTTGGTACTGCTCTCCTCAACCTCATTTCTTTACTCTCCTGCCTCTCTCCTTATGTTCCAGTTACACTTATTGTCCCTGAAGGACTATCAATTAGAAATGGTCATGCATAAAATTCTTGGGCAGTTTACACACAGCACACCAAAGTTACAAATTACATGAGAAGATTAGACAGGACTTCCAGGTTTCCTTACAGCTTCTGATTCTGTGACTAATAGAATCCAAACCTCACAGCCACCAAGATGCTTCAAACTCTCAAATACCATAAGCTTATGGAAGAAGCATATAGCTTTAAGAAAGGATAAGAAGGATTTTTTCAAGGAGGATTTAAAAAGGCATAGTAAATACTCCTCACCTTTAATGCTAAGCCAAGTTCTCATGATGACAGCCATTGTCTGCCTGCTTATGAATCTGCCCACTATTTGAGCAAAATGGCAAAGAACCCAAGGGCAAGTTCTTGTGGAAACAATGTAGAAACTGTGGTGGTTATTAAGTTTGCCTGTGCAGAAAGCTCTCCTACCTAGGGTTGCCAGATAGGATATATTTTTATTTACTAAGTCTGGCTACCCTATTCCTCATCTACTTCATTTTTTGGGCTAATAATACCATCTCCCTGGCCACAGGACTAAATATGTGACCAATTCTCATTCTAACAGAGACTGGTTCACATCATGAACATACAACCCAACCAGGGCCTGAGTCATTTCTTGGGGTGAAAATATTTCCTTTGGGCTGTGGTTTCTAACCTGAGGTTTGTGGCAGCCACACTCCTTGCTATAAAATCCTGAGACAAAAAAAGCAAAGAGAAGCTGGGACAGCAGTGAACAAAAGAGACACAGTTCTCTGTAGCTTTGGGTTCCCAGTTAGAGTTTCTGAGATCCCGGTTCCTAAAGCTTTTCCTCTAGCGCAGCATGTACCTCTTCACAGTTACAAGAATGGATAAATTCCTTTTTTCCCCGTTAACGCAGTCTGACTTGGGTTTCTGTTACTTGATCCTGAAAAATCTCCTGACTCATACAGAGGAGAATTCTGGTTCTGGATTTTATCTTTTTCTTAAGTAACATGGTGGATTAGGGAGAGCATGCAGGAGACAGGGGCACGATGCCACGAGCAGTCTATCCCTACTATCCACTTGCAGATTTAAAAGTCATTTATGGCAAACATTGAATCCCAGCCTTCTTTTGTTCTGCTTTTGGATTGTCTTCTTTCTAGTTCCTTAGATCATACAATCAAAGGCCTTCATTTTACAGATGAAAAATCATAAACAAGAAGTTAAATTGTCTTAGCTCATATGGCTAAAACCTAGGTTTTGAATCAATTATTATTAACATTATGAAATTAATTTTAATATGAACTTAAAATAATACAAAATGAGAAAGACAACTTTTATGTCTAAAAATTGAATGTGGTCAATAGGGAAATGTAAATGCTTATATTGCTTTTATGATTATTGATTGCAGCAAATTACAGATTGGAAGGATTGATTGTCTCTTAGTCATTCTCTTGGCAGTTATGTCTGTGATTATCCTCTTTCTTCTGCTACCAGACCCTGCTTCTTTGGTGGCTGGGCTGAGAACATGACCCAGCTTGGTCAGCCATAGAAACTCTGTCTTCCTGACTGCAGAGATCAGTCCAGAAATGGGTAGATCATTGAGAATGAACCAATGACTAAAGATCAGTATAATTACACTATAATTACCCTCCTTTCCTGAGATTTTCTTTTTATGAGATGAGATGGGAAACATGTTTCCCTCTCTGGTTACTGAACTGGGAGGATGTATGTCTGGAATGCTCTGAGCCCGTTTCTCTTACCATACAAGAAAAAAAAATTGTCTTTAAATAGAGAAAAAATAAAACACAAAAGAGAAGCAGAAACAAGTGAAAAACTTGGTTATTACGACTTTCACATCCCCAAATCTACCTATTCTGAAGCACAGATTCATCTCTGCCTTTTTGCCCTTTATTTGAGCCAAAAAAATTCTTGTTTTCTCAAAGTTATTTTGACACTTAAAACTAAAAAAAATAGTATAATTTTATTTGTGACACTACTTTTCTTTGTTGGCACAGATCATTGAAATTTGCATGCTTATCCTTGTCTGACTTATTAACAATCTGGTAAAAGCTGACAGAAAATCTAAATTCAATTTGCATTGGGGGAAAATTACATCAACCTCACATACTATCCAAAAATAAATATTAATATAGACTTTAATGTTAAAAAAAAAAACCTCTTTAATTCCATTTACAATGGCTACAAAAAACAATAAAATACTTAAGAATAAATGTAACCAAGGAGGTGACAGACTTGGATACTGAAGTAAATTTGATGAAAGAAATTGAAGAAAATGTAAACAAATGGAAAGATATTCTGTGTTCATGGATTGGAAGAATAAATATTGTTAAAACATCCACACTACCCAAAGCAATCTACAGATTCAATGCAATCCCTATCAAAATTCCGATGTCATTTTTCATAGAAATAGAAAAAACAATTTTAAAATTCATATGAAACTACAAAAACTCACAAATAGCCAAGGCAATCATGAGCAAGAAGAATAAGCTGAAAGCATCATGCAACCTAATTTTAAACTAGACTACAAAGCTATAGTAAATAAAGTAGTATGGTTACTAGCATAACACATCAACTAATGGAACAGAATAGAGATCCCAGAAATGAACCTATGCATGTACAGTAAATTGATTTTCTTTTTATTTTATTTTATTTTTTTAAATAGATAAAAAATAAAATATTAAAGCCAGGGGAAAGTGTGAACACAGTCCCCCACCACCACGAATTATGCAATCAAGTTTCCCATATTTGGGGAAATCGCATGTGTCAGCTCATCTGGAGTGCAATGGATAAGCATCAGCCTGGGAAAACCACCTTCATGAGCATGGTATCTCCCCTGCCAGATAAGTATGTAAATTGATTTTCTTAAAAAATTTTCATATGCCTACACAGGCTCAAATCAATTGATTTTTGACAAAGGTGCCATGAATGCACAATTGGAAAGAATAGTCTTTTCAATAAATGATGCTGGAAAAATTGGATATCCACGTGCAGAAAAATGTAATTGGACACCTGCTTTACAGCATATACAAAAATCAACTCAAAATGAATTATCTTGCACATAAAACTAGAAACTATAAAACAAATAGAAAACATAGGAGAAAATGTGATGATATTGGTCTGGTCAATGATTTTTGGATTTGACCTTAAAAGTACAGGCAGCAAAAGCCAAAAATAGACATGAGATTTCCTCAAACTAAGAAGCTTCTACACAGCAGAGCAAATAGTTAAAAGTGTGAAGCAACAACCTAAGGTTAGGAGAAAATATTTGCAAGCCACACATGTGATAAGGGTTTAATATATAAAATATATAAGGAACTTAGAGACAACTTAACAGCAAGAAGACAAAAACTCAGTTAAGAAATGGGTGAGGAAGCTGTGTATTAGTCCATTTTCACGCTGTTATGAAGAACTACCTTAGACGGGGTAGTTTATAAAGAGGTTTAATTGACTCACTGTTTCACAGGCTTAACAGGAAGCATGACTGGGAGGCCTCAGGAAACTTATAGTCATGGCAGAAGGTGAAGGGGAAGGAAGCATGTCTTACCATGGCAGAGCAGGAGAGAGAGACAGAGCGAAGCAGGGAAGTGTCACACACTTTCAGCCAATCAGATCTTGAGAGAATTCACTCACTGGCATGAGAATAGCAAAGAGGAAGTCCACTCCCATGATTCAATCACCTTCCACCAATCCCTCCCACATGTGTGGATTACAATTTGCGATGAGATTTGGGTGGAGACACAGGGCTAAACTATATCATTCTGCCCCTGAGCCCTCCAAAATTTCATGTTCTTCTCACATTTCAAAACCAGTCATGCCTTCCCAACAGTCCAGTGACAATCTCCTAAAGTGTTAATTCATTCCAGCATTAACTCAAAAGTTCGCAGTTCAAAGTCTCACCTGAGACAAAGTAAGTACCTTTTTTGCCTATGAGCCTGTAAAATAAAAAACAAATTAGTTACTTCCAAGATACAATAGTAGTACAGGCATTGGATAAATGCTTCCATTCCAAAAGGGATAAATTGGTCAAGACAAAAAGGCTATAGGCCCCATGCAAGTCCAAAAGCCAGTAGGCCAGCCATTAAATCTTAAAGCTCCAAAATAATATCCCTTGACTCCATGTCTCACATCCAAGGCATGCTGATACAAGGAGTGGCTCCCATGGCCTTGGGCAGCTCTGTCCTGTGGCTCTGAAGGTTATAGACCCTGCTTTCACAGGCTGGTGCTAAAAGCTGTGTATGGAGCCACTATTCTGAGGATTGGAGGATGTTGGCCCTCTTTTCACACTTCCTCTAGGCAGTGCCTCAGTGGGGATTCTGTGTGGGAGCTCCAACCCCACATTTCCCCATCCACACTGCCCTAGTAGAGGTTCTCCATGAGGGCTCCACCCCACAAGCAGACTTCTGCCTGGACATCCAGGCATTTTCATACATCCTCTGAAATCCAGGTAGAGGTTTCCAAACCCCAATTCTTGCCTTCTACACATCCACAGGCCCAACACCATGTGAAAGCCACCAAGGCCTGGGGCACCCTCTGAAGCCATGGTACTTTCTGAAGCCATGGCTTGAGCCATAACTTGGCCCCTTTTAGCCACAGCTGGAGCTGGAGTGGCTGAGATGCAGGATGCCACATCCTGAATCTGCATAAAGTAGTGGGGCCCTGGGCCACCATTTTTTCCTTCTAAGCCTACAGGCTGTAATGGGAGGAGCTGCCTTGAAGATCTCTGAAATGCCCCGGAGACATTTTCCCCATTGTCTTGGCTATTAACATTCAGTTTCTAGTTGCTTATGCAAATTTCTGCAGCCTGCTTGAATTTCTTACCAGAAATTGGGTTTTTCTTACTGCATGGTCAGGCTGCAAATTTTCAAAACTTTGATGCTCTGCTTCCCTTTTAAACATAAGTTCCAATTTCAGACCATCTCTTTGTGAACACACATGACTCTATGCTGTTAGCAGCAGCCAGGCCAAATCTTGAATGGTTTGCTGCTTAGAAATTTTTTCTGCCAGACATTCTAAATCATCTCTCTCAAGATCAAAGTTCCACAGACCTCTATGGCAGGGGCAAAATGCCACCAGTCTCTTTGCTAAAGCATAGTAAGAGTCACCTTTGTTCTAGTTCCCAATAAGTTCCTCATTTCTATCTCAGCCTGGACTTCATTATCCATATCACTATAGCATTTTGGTCAAAATCATTTAACAAGTCTCTATACAGTTCCACACTTTCCCACACCTTCCTGTCTTCTAAGCCCTGCAAACTGTTCCCACCTCTGCCTGTTACCCAGTTCTGAAGTCGCTGCCACATTTTCAGGTATCTTTTTAGCAGTGCCCCACTTCCAGTACCAATTTTCTGTATTAGTCTCTTTCACACTGCTATAAAGAAATACCTGAGACTGGGTAGTTTATGAAGAAAAGAGGTTTAATTGACTCACAGTTCTGCAAGCTTAATAGGAAGCATGTCTGAGAGGCCTCAGGAAACTTACAATCATGATGGAAAGAAAAGAGGAAGCAAGCACATCTTACATTGGCAGGGCAGGAGAGAGAGAGAAGGGAAGGCAGAAGTGCCACACACTTTCAAACAACCAGATCTCATGAGAACTCACTCATTATTACAAGAACAGCAAGGGGTAAGTCGGATTTCTGATTCAATCACCTCCCACCCGGTCCCTCCCTCAACACATGGGGATCACAATTTAAGATGAAATTTGGGTGGGGACACAGAGCCAAACCATATCAGGCTGAACAAATATTTTTCAAAAGAAGTCATAGAAATGGCCAACAGATACATGAAAAAAATGCTTAGCATCACTAATCACCAGGGAAATGCAAGTTAAAATCACGATGAGATATTATTTCACTCCTGCCAGAAAGGCTGTTGTCAAAAAGATGAAAGATACATGTTCATGAGGATGTGGAGCAAAGGCAACTTTTGTACACTGTCAGTGAGAATGCAAATTAGTACAGCCGTTGCGGAAACTAATATGGTGGTTTCTCAAAAAAACAACAGTAGGATTACCATATATTCCAGCAATCTCACTTCTAGGTATTTCCCCCAAAGATCTGAAGTCAGTTTAAAATCAACCTGCACCCCATGTTCTTTACAGCCCTATTTACAATAGCCAAGTTATGGAATCAACTCATGTCCATCAACAGATGAATACAGAAAGAAAATATGGTGCATATACATACTATGGAATACTATTCAGCCCTAACAAAAGAAGGGAATTCTGTCATTTGTGATAACAAGGGTGGAACTGGGAAACATTATGCTAAGTGAAGTAAGCCAGGCACAGAAAGACAAATATCACATGTTTTCACTTATACATGGAATCTAAAACAAATTCATAGAAGCAGAACAGAATGGTGGTTGCTGGGGCTGGTGGCTAGGAAGATTGAGGAGATGCTGGTCATAGAAGCCTTAGGAAGAATAAGTAGGGTGGTTTTTTTTTTTTTGAGATCTATTGTATGGCTTGGTGAATATAGTTAAAAATAGTATGTTATACATTTCAAAATTTCTGAGAGAGTAAATTTCAAATGTTCTTATAAAAATGGTATGTATTTCAAGTGATGGATATGTTAATTTGCTTTAGTTAAGTATTCCTCATAACAATAAAGCATATCACTGTCCTTCATAAATATATACAATTATAAATTGTCAATTTACAATAAAATAAAAAAGTTTCAAAATTAGGTGACAGGTACAGTAGTAAATAATTCTTTAAAAAAGATAGAAGAAAATATACAGTAAGTTTTAGAAGATATTCTTAGGGTAGGAAAAGCCTTCATAAGTAAATCTAAAACCCAGAAACCATGAAGAAAAATATCAACAGATTTGACTGGGAAAACACTTAAAGCTGTTGGAATATAAAAGTTGCTATTAACAAAATCAAAGGTAAGTGACAGAATGGAAGAATGTGTATATAAAATACATAATTCACAGTGGGTTAATAGCCATAATATAAAAAAGTCCCTATCAGCCAATAAGTGAATACAACTCCAGAGAAAATAGACAAAATTTATAAATAGTTTGAGAAAGAAAAAAAGAGAAATGATTTTTCAATTTTCAGAAAACATTCCTTTGAAAAATGCACCCTTCCCTGCAATACCCTTCCCTCCTTTGTTGTCTAAAGCACTCCTGTCTATTTCTCCATCTCAGGTCCTAGCAGAATCCACAGAGGTCTCCTTTGTGTGACCAGGATACCTTATACAGGCATCACTTATGGCATCTTAGTTCATTATCTTCAGTGTTTGCTTACAGGTTTGCTTTCCCTTACTAACCAAGGGCTGGGTCATCTACTTTGACTCAGTGACCAAAACTTACCTCTTTAAATTCCTATATTTTGTCTAATATGTGTCTGTAGAATAAACATATTTCAATAAATGGTAAATGAATAACATGTAAATGTTGATTTCCATGGGCTGGACTCAATACATAGACTCTATAGCAAAGTGCCTAACTTTCTATTTCATTTGGGCTGCAGATACTGATCCATGTTATCTTACTCATGTGTGAGAGGCAGAAAAGTGACAGGGAACGTTCTGTATTTAGTCAATTCTAATATACTACTGTTTGGTGTAATTGCTGTGCATATGTCAGCTGTATTATTACTCCTAATGGTGTGGCAAACAAAGGTAGCTCCTTGATGTTTCAACCAATGAGTGATTCAACAATCATTTGAGAATAGAACTATCTTTCCCTGATGTCAAATGGAAACCTTCTATCCTTATCATTTGGTAGGATTTGGAAAGCATCAGCATGAAAACTTGCAGAAAGTGTGTCAGTGGCTTAAAAGATGATCCCGCATTACCAGCATTCTTGATGCCTAAAGAATACTGCATGGAAAAACACAGCCA